ATTCAGCCCTGGCCAGGCCAGACGGGCAGAACTGTGCATGAGTCTCCAGGACAGACCCTGTGGCATCGAATACGCAGCTGCTCTACGCCTTGCGACCATCTCAGTGCCAGCAGTGACCACTGCTGTGCTCTGCTGAGTTTGGACTTGGGGCCCTGCAGCCAGGGGCAGGAAACACTTGAATTTTCAAACCTGGCCCAGTCTAAAGGGGACCGGGGTGGCAGGGTTTCTTGCCAAACTGAGGAAGATTTCTGTTCTGATGTCTCTGCCCCACGATCCCAGGTTTTCTCCTTGGCATCAAGAGGCTGGCGAAGGCCGCCAGAGCCTGGGGGGTTTCCACCACGGCCGGGAACACATCTTAGTGCCCCATTCGACACTGCCTTGTGAGCTGTGGCTTGGGGACAGATTTCACCACCTGCCACAAGAAAGGAGGCACCAGAGGCCACAGAGGCCTCAGCTCTGGAGACATTAGACTCTGGTTTACATTCTGGGCCTGAGACAGGGTAAGTCACATGCCCTTTCTGAATCCCAGTTTCTTTGTCTATAAAATGAGATTAATGCTCTCCATCCCAGCACAATGGTTTTTCAGGTAGCAAAACTGCTCTGGGCAACACTGTCATGGTGGGCACATGTCATGACACATTTGCCCAAACCCAAGGAATATACAGAAGCACTGGGAGTGAGCACTGGGTGACAAGGAATTGCACCCGAAAGTTGTAGAGTCGGCTCACCCTGAGGCTGGACACCAAGGAGGACACTACATGGAGGGGGTGCTATGTGGGAATTATGTACCTTCTGCTCAGTTTTGCTGTCAGCCTAAAAGATTAAGAAAAAAGAAATCATGGCTGGAGATAAGGCTATTCGGTTATGAGTCATTGCTCTTGTAGAGGATCAAGGTTTGGTTCCTAGCACTTACACGGAGGCTCACAACCACCTGTAACTCCATTTCCAGGGACCAATGCTCTCTTCTGGTCTCTTCGGCACCAGATAGGCAAATGGTGCACAAACATACTTGTAGGCAAAACACTCATATATATAGTCAAGGAATCAGCAAAAAAAAAAAAAGCTCATCAACAATGGTGACTAATAATTATTAAACTTAGACTTGAATATTTGGTGTGCATATATGTATGTGTGTGCACACAAGCCCCAGCATACATGTGGAGGTCGGAGGACAAACGCGCAGGAATTAGTACTCATCTTCCACTACGAGGGTTCCAGGACTCGAACTCAGGTCATCAGGCTTGGTGGCAAGCACCTTTACCAGCTGAGACATTTTACAGGCCTCAGTCTTTCCTTGTCTCATCTCCTTATCAAGTCTGGGGCCATGCACCCCTGGGGCAAGATCAGGAGGATGGGTTCCCACCTGTCTCCTGAATCCACCTGCCTGCAGAGTACAGGAGCTGGGGGACCATGCTCTTGGGGGTTTGTTTTGTTCATTGCTTTTGAGGACTTTATTTTCTTTATTCCTCCCAGGCCTGCTGGAAGGCCTGACACCTCAGGAGCTGAGAGATGCCAGGAGATTCCTCCAGATTACAGGGGTAGGGGGCTCTGAAGAGAAGACAGAGAATGGCTGGAACAGTGTCTGAGGTCCTGGGTTCTCATTCAAGTCCCCGAGGTCTGTGGAGCCCTTGGTTCTCAACTATTTTTTAAAATGCAAAGCAGGCTAGAGCAATGGGAATCCTGTGTGCTGCCAATGGCGTGTAGGATGGGGCAGCCGCCATGGAAAACAGAATGGCTCTCTTTACACAATTAAAAACTATTGCGAAGTGATCTAGGAATGCTGCCCCTGAGTGTCCACCCTCTGAAACCAAAAGCAGAGTCTTGAAAAGCCAGGAGGCGAAAGCAGCCCTGTACACTGACAGACAGTGACTAAATAAGACACCATGTGACTGCGCAGGGGAGTCATGATCGGCCTGAAAAAGGAGGACAGTTATGAGACATGCTACAGCACACATGAACCCTGAGGACAATGTACTCAGTGGAATAAGCCAACCACAAAAGGAAAGATACTATTTGAGTTGTTCCACAAGGGAGGTACCTGGAGTAGCCAAATCTATAATGACAGAAGGTATAATGGTTGTTGCTCTGGCCACAGGAGACAGCAGGGAATTGTTTTGTGACCCAGTTTGAGGTTTTAGGATGAAAGGTATTCTGGAAATTGGTTTATAGCATACACATTAGCATTGGCAAAGACCTTTGACATCATAGACTAGGTCAAGTAGAGGCTGGGTTAGGAGGAAAGTATAGGCAAAAGGGTTCTGCTGGTCCACTGATATATACTGCACACACTTACAGAGGGTTTAGAGTATATATATTTTATGTAGCCCAGACTGGCCTGGAACTCCTGAACTCCTGATCTCCTGGCTTAGTCTCTTGGGCGCTGGGACTGCAGGTGTGCACCACCACAAGTGGCTAGAGGATGCAAGCTCTCTCTCTCTCTCTCTCTCTCTCTCTCTCTCTCTCTTTCTCTCTCTCTCTCTCTCTCTCTGTGCACATACGTATATGTGTGTGTTTAACCATAATTAAAAACAAAATAAAATAGCTGGGGATGGTGATACACGTCTTTAATCCCAGCACTTGGGAAGCAGGCAGGCAGATCTGAGTTTGAGGTCAGTCTGGTCTACATAATGAGTTCCAGGATAGAAACCAGCAAGCAAATAAACAAATGGCAAAATAAATGAGATCATTTTAATAATGACGATGAGAGCACAGGCTAGGATGCCTAGGTTGAAAGTGGGCTAGCCCAAGCTTCTTCCTGGGGTCAGCAGGAAGTGAGAGACTGTCAACTGTACTTGGACTTCCCACACCTGTGCTGCCTCACAGGCTAGGGTCTGGGCTTCCCAGAACCCGTCACCCACTGGGGACAAGTGAGGACTCAGGAAGTTGAAGGAGAGAGAGCTGGGGTTTGTCTGGTACACAGGGATCACAGCTACTGCTCTCTAACTGCACCCCTGCTCTCATGCACATAGTCATATCTGTTTCCCCTTAATTTTGATCTTATCCCATTTCTTCTCTGTAAAAGTAGTGAGTTCCATACCCAACTAGGGATTTCCGCTTCATCCATCCACCTGCTCATCTTCTGGAGTCGCTGGAGGCCGGGGAAGGGTGGGGCGCTAGGTAGGAAATCCCCTTCTTCTCAGGGGAACATCAGTGTGGAAGGGAAGGTTGATTGCTGCTGATTTCATCAAGTGTGAGTTTTGCCCTTCCCTGTTCCCTTCTGGGGAAAGACCTACTGAAGACCCTTCACACGGGAAGCAGCACGCTCTGTGCACTGCGCTGGACACATGCCAGTTTCCTGCCTGGCTTCCAGCACCACGGACAGCTCCTTCAGTTCTCAGCCTTCCTCCTCCGTGGCAGGATCCATCGCCATGTTTGTGCTCTTGACATGCTGAACAGAAACACTGCAATTTGATTTTCAGTATGCTTGGCACATAATTGGCACTTGGGTTGCCTGGGCATTTGGGGCATCAGTTAACTAGAATATAGTGGTGTCTATTGAGGAGATAGAAGACAGGAGGCTGTGGCCATGGTGCCCGTCTTCCTCAAAGGCAAGCTTGCTCCCTCCTCATGACAAAGGCTTTCTGAACCCCTGGGTCCCCACTGGTTCCTTTTTCTCTCCAACTCCTAATCTGCATTCTTCTTAAACCAACATTGGTTATTTCAGGTGCCTTGGACACAATATAGATGTTCTTTTTACTGGTTAACAATAGACTCCTTTAGCAAAGATGGATTCTATTTCTTCTTGACTTTTTTGTAGCAGAATCTTATTTTACAAAATATTTTATTTTAAATTATGTGTATGAGCCGGGCGTTGGTGGCGCACGCCTTTAATCCCAGCACTCAGGAGGCAGAGGCAGGCGGATCGCTGTGAGTTTGAGGCCGGGCTGGACCATAGCCTCCAAAACAATACAGAGAAACCCTGTATCGTAAAAACCAAAAAAAATTATGTGTATGAGTGTGTGTCTGTGTGTGGGTACATGCATGCCCATGCAGGTGCCTGTGGTAGTTATGGGTGATGATTCCCTGGAGCTGGAGTTACAGGGTGCTGTGTGCTACCATGTGGGTGAAGGGGACCAAGTTCAGTATACACTCTTAACTGCTGAGCCATCTCTCTCTAGTCCTGGAGCAGAATCCTAAAGGAAGTCTTCGCATTACTAAAATATCTTGCTGCTGCATGTACTTCCTGTATGCTTCTCTTGACTTTTGATCCTCACATTATTTACTCTCAAGGTAACTCATGATCCTTGTTTATTTTTTTCTTCTTTAATAGAGTTGGTCTCTTCAGATCCTTACATTTTTTGATAGTTTCACAGGCAATTAAAATAGATGCCTAACATTGGTTTCATCAACTTCATTAAAATCTACATGTTGACAAGTTGTCCAGTTTTACTTTGCAGTTAGTTCATATGATTTTTGTGTCTCTAAGCCATTCACAATCCACAGAAGCTGCCAAAGACCATTGAGACCCCGGGTCAGGCAGAAGCTGGCTTAGGTGGAAAGTATAGGCATGAGGGTTCAGATTGCTGGGCAGCAGGTCCACTGGTAAATATTTCTGTGTGCATTCACTTTCTCATCTCAGTGACCTGTGGGTTCATTCAGTGACCTGACACACTCATGGTAGGAAGGAATGTGCCCCTCCTTACTAGAGAGAGAGCATGGGACATCAGTCTAGAAGTAAGACATGAAGCCTGGGATGAAGAGTACTCTGAGTTAGAACTAAGGATTGGGGGTGATAGGTCTGAGGAAGATCTTTCTAACTTGTAGAATTGTTAAGCTCATGGTTGCAGCTGCTTTGTGAGGTAAGGCACTTCCAGATACTTAAGACTTAAGGTACTGAAGTAGGAATGGGATGACAGGGAGGTAGAGTTGGACCTTTCCAGACCTTAGACTATTCCTTTACATGTTTTGTATTATACTATGAACTCCTGCTACACACACACACACACACACACACACACACACACACACACACACACACACACACACACGGTCTGGCTGGCTATGTAGCTCAGGCTGGCCTTGAACTGGCAACTCTCCTGCCTCAGTCTCCCTAGTGCTAGTATTATGGGCGTGTATGGCTGGGCATCAGTGAACTAGCTCTTTTCTTCCATGTAATCCTCAGTATCCTCTCTAGGTACCAAAGTCAAAGAAAGCTTCCCTTCAGTCCTCCCTGTGGGAGCTGTGGTGGAGCACAGAGTCCTGGAGAAAGAAGTAGGAGGAAGACCCCGAGAGGAGGGGAGGTGAGTATTTCAGACAGGTGTGGTGGCTCCCACTGTAATCCCAGCACTTGGGGGGCTTAAGGTGGAAGGAATCCCAAGTTCTATGAAAGCCTGGGCTATACAACAAGGACTTATCTCAAAAATGAAACAAATAATGCACACGTGTGTGAGAACACAGTATTAAGTTCTCTCTTACATGGTCTCTCTCAACCTGGCTACACATGTAACTCACTGGGGGTTTGAAGAAGTAACATTTAGGGGATGAGGAGTTGGTTAGGTCTATAAAGTGCTTGCCACACAAGCATGGGCTGGAGTTGGATCCCTAGCACCATATCTCAAAAAAAAAAAAAAGACAACTTTGACCTTTGGCCTCCACATGTTTATGTGCATATGAGTGTGTGCAGGATTGCACATGGGAAAGTGTACACACACACACACACACACACACACACACACACACACACTGAAGCAATGCCTGTATCTCCTCTCCAGAGACTTTGGCCTGTGGTGCTTAGCATCGGGAGTTTTAAATCTCCCCAGGTGATTCCATGCACAGCCAAGGCTTTACCCATGACTCACCGTAAGCTCCTGAGTTAGGCCAGTGACTGACAGAATGTGGTCCCAGATCCTGTCATATCCCGGGAACTTGTGTTAGAAACATAAATTTTCAAGCCTTGCCACACACTTAGAGAATAGGAATCTTAGGTGTGACACCTTCCAGGATATCCCTATGACTGCCTGTTCAAGCTTAGAACCCCCAGACTGAGGAGCCACCCACACTTTTGTGGATGAGATGGAGAGACTTAGATGTGAGGCCAGGGAAACTGGACAGTAAGGATCAGAACAGGGACCAGAATGCCCATGCCCAGACCGGTCTGTCCTTCCTCTTTACCCACAGTCCTTACAGAGCATGGACACTCCTCACTGTGGGTCACTTTTTTCTCCTGTCTTGGTTCTGTAGCAGAGTTTAGCTCCGTTTGGAGCATAATTGCTCTTGCCCTGGGAAAGCAAAGGGCAGATCACCCCAGGAATCTTTCTAAAACAGTTTTATTAGGTGCTTAAAATAGCTTCTGGCAGATGGAGTGTAGAGAGGGAGATTGGCTCACAGCTGCCTGTGACATTTACGAGTGTGTGTGTTCATGGGAGCACATGGGCGTGTGTGTGTGTGTGTGTGTGTGTGTGTGTGTGTGTGTGCACATGACTCGTGCACCTGCATAGGGGTGAGTCAGAAAGCTGGGGAGCTGAGGAAGGGCATAAGGAGGATGAGGGTGGTGGCTTATAGTCCCCTGACCAAGGAGGGGAAGAGCCTTGCGCCAGGCTACCTGTGGCGTTTGGTTGACTCCTCTGCCTTTCCCGATGCATGCTGGTCAGACAGGTGTTGGGGCCTGGAGAAGGTGGCCTCAATATGGGTTTCAGGAGCTGATGCTGGAGAGTGCAGCAGAGCTCCAGGACACTTGTGGGTTTTGATGGATTAAAAGCTTGAACTTTGGTTTGCTAATAAGAACACTGAGATTTCACTTCATTTTCCTGATTTTAAAGGCAATAGCTATATAAGCAAATGTAAATCTCATTTTGGTGCCACGATGAGGCAGAGATACTCATCAGTCTAATCCTCTCTGACAGGCTCTCCAATGGTCGTGGGTGGCTCTTTTCCCACGGCAGCTCACAGCCGTTCTCTCAAATCCTGCAGCCCCAAGTGTGATTCTTAAACCTCCAATGCAGTCGTTCTTGATGGTTCGGAACTCCACTCAGTCCAAGATGTTCTGGACGGACCATGTCACACAGCCGTGTACACAGAAAGGCCTGTCGGTACTCCATCACTTAGTGTCCTGGAGGCACTGTGAGGAATGGCCCTCCAGCTTCCCCTGCCTCTAACCCCCACCCTGCCCTAAACCTCATCACTGTTGGATGATGAAAAACAAAGGTATCTATACTTATACAGCATAGGCCTGCCTTAGATGGCTCTTTGAGTGGGGCTTCAGCTGTGATCATTGGGAATTCATTCGGGGAGGGTGCCTCTCAGATCCCTTAGCAATGGGGCCTGCTTCTGGCTAGCCCATGTCTGTGTGTCCTGTATCACGATCTGGATTCTTTCTCCTGTACCATTATCAACTGAGAATAAGTCTCTTTCTCCTCTATAGTCACCACCTGATTCTTTTTGCCTAGTGATGCAGGATCCCACTCCCCAGCCCGCTTCCTGGATCTCCATGGAGAAGAAGCAGAGCAGGAGAATGAACTCAGGAGACTTGGGCTTGATTCCAGTTTGACTCTTTTTGGTAGTGTGACCTTGGGTAAGTTGCTAAAATGTTCCAAGGCTCACCCTTCTTCACCTGTAAAGTGGAGATAATAATATCTATTCTGCTGACTCATTGCGATTTGCTGGGCAAATGAGAATCCCTGTCAGTGAGCTGAGTCATAGCCTCACATACTCTTGTCCTGTAGGTGGAGCCTGGGATCTTTCTCAGCAGCTCACATGTTGACATCATGATCCTTTTGGTCTCTGAGGGTGGTAACAAGATGAAGAATAGACCCTTAGTACCCCCTCAATAAACCAGTGTTCCCTGGCCAAGAAAGCTAAGACGTAAGTTCTAAGGCATCCAGCAGCTGGACAAACTGTGTTCAACAAACCACAGTCCTTCGGTGTGCACTGGTGCTGAAGGGTGTGTGTGCTTGGAAGCTTCTACAGACAAAGTAGAGAGGTTCTCTAGCTGAAGATGCAGAAAGGGGAACCTAGAGGAACGTAGAGGCTTGCAGTGTGGTGGAGGCAGGACGGAGTCCTTATTCATGTATAACAGGACAAGGAAAAGTCAAGTTGAAGCAGCAACTTTTGGATGAGGATGAAAGGGGGAATGGCTCAGGGGACTTTGGAATGGTTGGTTTTAGGAAAACCACGGAAACTGAGTTTTCTAGCTCAGACTCTCAGAGTCGCAGAGGCAGGGGAAGCAGTGCTAAGGACCCTCCACCATCTAGGGGCACACTTGGACACTCCAGGGGAGCCACCACAGAGTCTTCAGGTTAGTAGGAGCCAGTGGTGGGAATGTGAGGGAGGACGGTAAGACCTGTAAAAACATGATTCAGAACTTCAGGGGGAGAGTCGTCAGCTGTGGGTCTCGAGATAATCCCACTCAAGGGGTTGAGAAACTGAAGTCCTGACAATAAAATTGCAAATTATCCCAAGTTAAAAAAATTGAGGGCAGTATCTAAAAATAAAGCGGCTGCACGGGAAAGTCTCTAATGCACAGGGCTTTGAGAAGGGCTCCTGTTCTCAAAAAACTTCTGACATACTTTAAATACATGAGTTTGAAGCTGGGCATGGTAGTGCATACATATAACTCCAGCACTGGGGAGGACTGTAAATTCAAGGTCACCCTCAGCTACACAGTGAGTTTGAGGCTGGCTTTTGAGATGGGGCTCTCACTGTATAGACCAGGCTGGCCTTGAAGTCACAGAAATCTGCTTGCTTCTGCTGCTGGAGTTCTGGGGTTAAAGCTGTGGGCCATCAAGAACAGCCAGAAGTTTATAAATTTGAATACAAAAGAGCAGAGTGGTTAAGGCAAGAGGCTTTAGAATCAGACAGCATTTAAATTGGCCTCTGCCACTTAGGAGCTGTGTGACCGTGGAGACCCCATTCAACCTTCATCAGCTCTCAGATTTAAATCTGCAAAATGAGGGTGATAGTATCCACTTCATGAGGCAGTGGTGAATAAAACGACACGCTACATGGGAAATCCCTGCTATTGTGACTAGCGGAGAGGAAGTGTTCAATGCCAGCTGTTTTTGCCTTCCTATAAACACATAAGATACTCTTCAATAAAGGGAAGCTGCAAAAAAATTTAAACAATACATATCCATAAACCTAGTCCTACAGAAAATACTAGAAGGAAAATTCCAACCCAAGGAAATCATCTACCTCCACAAGAACACAGGAAGCAGATGAGCTTATAGCAGCAAACCCCAAAGAAGGGACTTGAACACACAATGCCATCACCATCAACAGAAACAAACAAACAAACAAAACCAGGAACTAGCAATCACTGGTCATTAATATATGTTATTATAAATGGTCTCAATTCACCTATAAAAAGACACAGGCTAATAGAATGGATACAAAAACAGAATCCATCCTTCTGCTGCATACAATAAACACAGACAGACATTACCTCAGAGTAAAGGGTTGGGAAAAAGTTTTTCCAATCAAATGAATCTAAGAAACAAGCTGGTGTAGCTATTCTAATATCTAACAAAATAGACTTCAAACTAAAAATCAATCAAAAAAGATAAAGAAGGGCATTTCATATTCATCACAGGAAAAATCCAGCAAGAGGAAATCTCAATTTTTAACATCTATGTTCCAAACACAATGCTCCTGCATTGTAAAACAAACATTGCTAAAGCTTAAACAACAAATCAAGCCCCACTCTCGTCACTGGACAGATCTTCCAGACAGAAGCTTAGCAGAAAAATAAGGGAACTAACAGATGTTATGACTCAAATGGACTTAACAGACATCTATAGAACATTCCATCCAAACACAAAAGAATATACTTTCTTTTCAGCACCTTATGCAATCTTCTCAAAAATAGACCACATACTTGGTAACAAAGCAAACCTCAACAGATTAAAAAAAATGGAATAAACCCTTATACCCTATCAGATCACCATACCTTAAAGTTAGAATTCAATAGCAACATTAATTTTAGAAAGCCCACAACACATGGAAATTGAACAATGATCAACTGAACCACCACTGGGTTAAGGAAGAAATAAAGAAATAAAAGACTTCCTAAAATTTAATGAAAACTTATGGAACACAGTGAAAGCAGTACTGAGAAGAAAGTTCATAGTACCAAATTCCTATAATAAAAAAGCTGGAAAAATCCCACACCAGTGAATTAACAGAACAACTGAAAGCACTAGAACAAAAAGAAGCAAACTCACCCAGAAGGAGTAGACGGCAAGAAATAGTCAAATTAAGGGCTGAAATCAATAAAATAGAAACAAAGAAAACAATGCAAAGGATCAATGAGTAAAATAGTTGGTTCTTTGAGAAATTCAACAAAATATACAACCCTTTATCCAAACTAACCAAAAGACACAGAGATAATGCCCCAATTAACAAAATCAGAAACAAAAAGGGGACATAACAACAGACACTGAGGAAATCCAGAAAATCATCAGGTCACACTTGGAAAAACTACACTACACAAAATTGGAAAACTTTATGGAGATGGGCAATTTTCTAGATAAGTACCACATACCAAAATTAAATCAAGAGCAGATAAACAACTTAAATACACCTGTAACCCCTAAGGAAATAGAAACAGGTATCAATAGTCTCCCAACCAAAAAAGGCCCAGGCCCAGAGTCAGTGCAGAATTCTACCAGACGTTCAAAGAAGAACTAATACCAATACTCCTCAAGTTATTTTACACAATAGAAATAGAAGTAACATTGCCAAACTCTTTTTATGAAACTACAGTTACCCTGACACACAAACCACACAAAGACACAACTAAGAAAGAGAATTACAGACCAATCTCTCTCATGAACATAGATGCAAACATACTCAATAAAATACTGGCAAATCAAATTCAAGAGCACATCAGAAAAATCATCCACCATGACCAAGTAGGATTTATCCCAGAGATGCAGGGATGGTTCAACATATGAAAATCCATCAATGTAATCCACCATATAAACAAACTGAAAGAAAGAAAAAAAACCACATGATCATTTCACTAGATGCTGAAAAGGCCTTTGACAAAATTCAATATCCCTTCATGATAAAGGTCTTGGAAAGAATAGGGATACAAGGAACATACCTAAACATAATAAAGGCAATATACAGTAACCCGACAGCCAACATCAAACTAAATGGAGAGAAACTCAAAGCAATTCCACTGAAATCAGGAACAAGACAAGACGTCCACTCTGTCCATATCTATTCAACATAGTACTTGAAATTCTAGCTATAGCAATAAGAAAACAAAAGTAGATCAAGGTGATACAAATTGGAAAAGAAGAAGTCAAACTCTTGCTATTTGCTGATGATATCAGAATTTACATAAGAGACCTCCAAAATTCTACCAGAGAACTCCTACAACTGATAAACACCTTCAGCAATGTAGCAGGATACAAGATTAACTTAAAAAATCAGTAGCCCTCCTATATACAGATGACAAACGGTCTGAGAAGAAAATCAGAGAAACATCACCCTTTACAATATCCACAAATAACATAAAATAGCTTGGGGTAACTCTAACCAAACAAGTGAAAGATGTGTATGACAAGAACTTCAAGTCTTTAAAGAAAGAAATTAAAGAAGATACTAGAAAATGGAAAGATCTCCCATGCTCTTGGATAGGTAGGATCAGCATAGTAAAAATGGCAATCCTATCAAAAGTAATCTACAGATTCAATGCAATTCCCATCAAAATCCCTACACAATTTTTCACAGACCTTGAAAGAACGATACTCAACTTCATATGGAAAAAAAACCCAGGATAGCCAAAACAATTCTGTACAATAAAGGATCATATGGGAGCATCACCATCCCAGACTTCAAGCTCTACTATAGAGCTATAGTAATGAAAGCAGCTTAGTATTGGCACAAAACCACTCTGAGATTCCATCTTACACTGATCAGAATGACTAAGATCAAAACCACCAATGACAGCTTATACTGGAGAGGTTGTGGAGAAAGGGGAACCATTGTTGATGGGAATGCAAACTTTTACGGCCGCTGTGGAAATCGGCATGGTGATTTCTCCGAAAATTAGGGATCAACCTACCTCAAGACCCTGCAATATCACTATTGGGCATATACCCAAAGGAGGCACATTTACAACACAAGGTCAACTATATTAATAACAACATTATTCATAATAGCTAGGTATTGGAAACAACCTAGATGCCCTTCAACTGAAGAATGGATAAAGAAAATGTGGTATATTTACACAATGGAGTACTACTCAGTGGTAAGAAACAATGACATCCTAAAATTTGCAGGCAAATGGACAGAACTAGAAAAAACCATCCTGAGTGGGGTAACCCAAAACCAGAAAGACAAATATAGCGTGTACTCACTCCTAAGTGGATACCAGACATAAAGCAAAAGATACCCCAGAGAAGCTAGAACTCTCTTACAGAAACAGATGGAAGCAGATGCAGAAATCCACAACTAACCAATGGACCAAGCTCCTGGAATATAATTGAAGTGAGGGAGGAGCGATAATATGAACAAAGGAGTCAAGACCATGATGGAGAAGCCCACAGAATCAGCTGACCCTAGCTGGTGAGAGATCACTGACTCAGGTCTGACAAATGGGGAACCTGCGTAAGACTGAACTAGACTCCCTTAATATAGGTGACAATGGTGTGGCTGGGACAATACTTGAGGCTTCTGGCAGTGGGTTCAAGATCTAACACTAATGCACAAACTGACTTAATGGAGCCCATTCTGTATGAAGAGATACCTTGCTCAGCCTAGACGCAAGAGTGTAGGGGTGGAGAGGTGCCTTGGTCCTGCCTCAACTAGATGATGGGACTGACTTAGGAGACTTCCTAGAGGAGGCCCTACCCTCTCCGAAGAGCCGATGGGAGGTGGGGAGGGAATGGAAGGAGAGGAATGAGGGAGAACTGGGATTGGAATGTAAAAATTAAATTAACGAAAGGCAATGGCTCAAATGGGTGCGAACCATGAAAGGCAGACTGAGGCAGGTGGCCTGACACTCATGACTCCCCTGAGGAGCACTCACTGGTAAAGTCAGATTATACAAGGCATTGGCAGTGTTGGTGGGAGAGCAGGTGTGACTTGCTGGTGGCAGCGCCATCTCCCTGCCGACACACTTTCACAGCAGACACAATTGACGTCGATTTGAAGGCTGGCAAAGATCGTGCCCACCACCTTAGGTAGGCTTCTACCTGTTTTATGAGACGGGCAAAGCACAGACTACAAATGCCGTGATGAAGGCTTGGCTAACAGGAACTGTTTGGAACAAAGTGGGTTACTTGGGAGCTGGGAAGGTGGCACCAGGTTAAGGGTCCTGGCTGCTCTTGCAGAGGTTCCAGGTTCCCAACACCCACATCAGGCGGCTGACAACCGCCTGTGTCTCCAGCTTCAGTGATCTGATATACACGCTTCTGGCCTCCATGCGCACCTGCACACACCTCTCTCTCTCACACACATATACAAATAAAAAGAAATCTCTTAAAAATAAAATAAATAGGCTTCTCGCCAAGTGACGCATAGTTGACCATTTAAATTTTTTTTAGCCGATCGTTGGTGGCGCACTCCTTTAATTCCAGCACTCGGGAGGCAGAAGCAGATGGATCTCTGTGAGTTTGAGACCAGCCTGGCCTACCGAGTGAGTTTCAGGACAGCCTCCAAAACAATATAGAGAAACCCTGTCTTGGATTTTTTTTTAATTTTTGCAAATTACATTTACTTATTTATAGTGTGGGAAGACACCTGGAGCTTGCATGTGTGAGTGGATGAACTCACGACCAGAGACCAGAGGGGGATGGTGTTGTGGGGAAATGAAGAGGGGTCAGAAGACTGTAAAAGAACGCATGGGTTTAATCTACAAATATAGGGAAAGGGTAAATTTAGAAAATACAGAAGTTTGCTTAGTATCTAGCCCTTGTGATGTTCTAGAGGGATGACTAAACAGAGTATTTTGGGATTCTCCACATCTGCCTTGCAACCTCTGCTGTCACTCTGGTAACCTGAGGGGTCCCCCGATGTCAAATCATGACATGTCTGCACACCAGCCTCTAATGACTCCCACCTCACAGGAAAGAAAAATCACATTCTTCATGGTGGCCTGCAAGGCCCAGGCTCACCGTGGCTGCTCAGACCTCAGACCCATGGTTTTCCTCTTCCTGGACTGCTCTCCCAAGCTAGTTGCCTTGTTCTTGGCTTCATTCTTGCTGTCCTTTTGGCCTGGAACACTTGTCCAAAAAAAAGGGAACAGTTCTCTCCCTCAAATATTTGCTCAAATGTTACCGCCTTAATGAGGCTCTCTGACTACCCCAAAGGTCTCAGTTTTTACTCATCTCTGATGTATTTTTCCTCTACTGCACTCATTCTGACCAACATATTGCTCATTTTCACTTATTTCTTTGTCTGTATTCCTGATTCTGAGACCAGTACCCACAGAGTCATGCTTGTTAAATTGTTTGAGAGGGAGCAGATGGAGGGAGCAGTTAGCCTGCGCTGGCCAACCATCCCAGTGTGTCCAGAGAGCCCCCGAAGCATGGTGCAAAGACCAGCCAAGTGCCGATTGTTAGACTTACGGTCTCATTTTCTGTGATACGGTGACCAGACTGAGTGGGAGGAAGGCCACAGTCTTACCTCATCCTCCTGTGGCACAGCCCTTTACCAAGTCTGCCCCAATAGCCCTACTGGTGACCTGCATCATTGTGGGCTTCAAGACTGTTTATCCAGGTAGCCTGAAGCTGTCTGGCAGACAGACATACTTGCTTAACGGACCGGCCACTGGGGAGGGTGGAAAGGCTGTGGTGTCATGATGAGGGCAAAGGTTCTAAGTGCCTGCCTTCCTGGTGACAGCGCACCTAACTGGGCCCTGAGTCTACCTGGGTACCGTGGTCAGGGGCAGTTCGTTCCCATCTGCTTGGCTTCTAGCTTTCCAGTGACCCACGTGCTTTCCCCTCCACGTTCCTAACTAGCTGTCCCCAAAAGTGGTATTTCTCTTTTCAAGAGGAAAGCAGTCCCTCCCTGACTTCTGCTAGCAACCTCACCCAGCTGAGTTCTCCGAAGCTAGTGAGTAAATCCTCAGAAGGCTAGGGCTTCATTCCTAAGGACCCGGGCAGCTGGGTAGCGGCAGGGCAGGGGGCAGGGCTAGAACTTCTGGGCCGAGTCTTAGGTTCTTATCACTCAGCCCATGCTTGTTGGGAAGCTCTAGGATGGTGGTAGGGGTGGTGTGCACTAGGTGCTTACTGAAGGGAACAGTGATTTTATCTTCCATGCTGTGTGGGCTTGCTATGAGGTGGTAACCGCCAACCAAAAGATGGATGGTCCTAGGGAAAGCAGGACAGCGGCTTCTGGCCTGTCTCTTCTCCAGAGGTTTTGGCTGAAGAGCAGTGAAGAGGCTGAGTCCCCGCTAGCCAGCTCCAGCCAATCAGGAGAGCAGCCAAAGTGTGTCAGGAGGGAACCCTGGGGAGTCAGGAGTGCCTGGCGGGGGCACAGCGGGGCACGGCATGTATGTTCATGTAGAAAGACCACATAACCCTGGGGAAAGCATCGGGTGCTCAGGGTAGTGAAGACCACCGTTGCTTCTCCAGCTTTTTTTAGTTGTCTATGAAAAGGCCAAAAGTGTGGTGGTATGTGCCTGTAATCCCATCACTTAGTGGGCTGAAGCAGGACGATTGTCAATTTGAGCCTGAGATATATAGAGTTTATAGACCCTGCCTCAAAAGCCAAACACAAACAGAAGGTGGGGACAGCAGAGGTATGGAGCAGTTGTGGAAAATTCTAGCCATCCCAGGCTGGATCCCAGTGGTTCTGGAATGCCAGGGCACTGCCGGGCTGGCAGCGTCTTCTTTAGAAATGCACATGGGAAGCTCACGGGCAGGGCCAGCTGTCTGTATTTAGCCAGGTCTTCAGGGGAGGCTGCAAACTGCTGTGACAGGAGATGGCGGCCTCCGAGAGTCCCACTATGGAGGATGCTGCCCTCTAACTTTGGGGAGTCATCCTAGTTTAGGTTCCTGGGCTGTGTGCAGACCCTGATCTGGTGCCCGCCTGTGTGTACATTTGCAGTCCTGGTGATGGCTTGGGATCTGTGTCCACCAAGTCTGCTACACATGTTCTGTAATATGGCCTGTGTGGGCCTGATGAGTCCCAGGAAACTCAATGCTTTCACCAGCCCAGCTGCCCAGTGGCCGCTGGCGTCACCCGCTGCTTGGCCCCACCCGCTGCTTGGCCCCACCCCAGCCATCGCCTTTTGCCCTTGTTTCTGTCGTCTTTCCAACAGATGCTCCTCTTCACTCTCAGTCACCAGAAGTTAGTCGGTTCAGAACAAAACAACCAAATCGAACCAGGCGCGTTGCGAACCCTGGTGGAGGAATGGAGAGACACAGCAGTCTCCTCCCCCTCCTCAGACCTTTATCCACCCATGCTCACGCCTGCCTGTGAGCCAAAGTTCTTGCTATCTTCATGATTTGTGATTCTCTGCATGATCCCACTGCTTGGGTTTGTTTAATTGGAATCAGGCTGGGGCTGTGCGTCCTATGTGCTGGCATGTTAACTGCTCAGCAGAGGAGAAAGGGGAACCAGGCTTGGGGATGGAAATTCTCCCTCTCTTCCCAGCCTGTGTTTGTCCCCATTTTTCTCCCATGCTCTGCCTTTCTTTGCCTGTGTCATGCTCTTTCTGGGTGGCAGCTTCGCCTCAATTCGATTCTCTTGCCCCAGCGTTTCTGCCCCCTGCTAGGGGGACACTTTATGTTTGGAGCAGACACAGAGGTCAGAACTCAAATGTCTTCTCCAAACTCTTATCACATTCCAGCCCCCACCCCTGTCTCTGGAGAAGAGACCCAAGAGATTTTCCGATACCCAGCATGCAAAGGACGAGTCCCCTCCCCATTGTTGTTGTTATTGTTTATTTTTATTTTTTACAAAACAGGAGAAAAGAGTGAATCGGTTGGGGACAGGTGACACATTTCTCCACAAAGGTACAAAACTGCCTATAGAAAGTCAACTTTAGAGCCCAGGCTATGAGATGAGGCATCTCTGGATACCCCTCTCCCCGAATATCCTTCAGATCCAGCTGGGGACACTCCCACTTTGGGACAGGCTCCCAAGACGGAGAGGCCTCTTTCAGCCCTTGCCCAGGAGGGGGATGAGCAAGCAACTGAGACTGTACAAAGAAAGAGAGGGAGGGGCAATATCCTGTGGGCCGGGGCCTAGGGACACAGGCAGGGAACAGCCAAGCTGGGTCCAGAAGCCTCTGGGGAGGTAGGAGGCTCTAGGCAGAGTCCTTCCTGTTCCTTGGAGACACTCCTCAGAATAGCAGCTGAGGACCCCCAGAAGGCCACAGCAACCATTTTGGAAGCTCCAAGAGCACCCCCAGGAGCCACAGAGCCCCGTCTTTCTTGGTCAAGCTGCCAGGCCTCAAGCACGTGGAGCAACGCCACTTTCCGGCAGGTGTCTGGCCCAGATCACTTCCCTTTTAGTGTAGAGTTGTCCTAGTTATTTCTCTACTGCTGAGACCTGGCGGAGCTTCAGGAATGTTGAGACAATGGTGGTGACACTGTCTCCCCATTGGAGCATCTGGGTGGGTTCCTCCCTGGATTCCAGGGCAGGACAAGGGGTGCAGACACTACTCGGACAGAGGGAGTGCTCCAGCCCCAGAAAGCCCAGACTGGAAGTAGAGGCTTCTCACCCACCCCCTGCTTGGGCTGGCCTCTGCCAAAGTGGGTCGCAAGCCCAGCTGCCAACAGGAGGACAGCAAGAGCCAGGATGGCTATGAGCCCAGGCCGGTCCCCCAGGGCTCTGTGGCAAGGAGAGGCCTCTTTAGTCCTGGCCCAAACACAAGCCAACTGGGTGTGGGCATCGGCAAAGGCCACTTGCAGGCAGGCCCAGTAGTCTGTGGCCGGAAGGAGGCGGGTAACGTTGTAGCGGTGGGTACCCCGGGGCAGTCGAGCCAAAGCAGTGGCTTTGTGGTCCCGGAGGGAGGAGGTGCTAGACCAGGTGAGGTTGGTGGAGACTATGTTGGGTGGGGGCACCCAAAACAGCAGGATGTGATATGGGTGTGTCTCCTGCACACGGAGTTCCAGTCCTGGTCCCTTGTCCCTGCCTGACTGGAAGGGAGCATGGCCAACCACAACACTAACTGTCTTAGTGTCAGCCCCGACCAGGTTCTGGGCCACACAGGTATATAGCCCCGCCTCTTCTGCTGTCACCCTCCGCAACTCTAGGGTCCCCTCAGGGAACACCCGGTACCTCCTGCCTGCGTGAGCAGGTGTCAGTCGGACTCCGGCTGGAGTGACCCAGTAGATTTCAGGCTCTGGTTCAGCCAGGGCCCGACAGTGAAGTACCATGCTCTCTCCACTGGCCACCTGCAGGCTGGAGGGGAAGCTGCGGGGAGAGATGAGGGGTAGGCAGTGGTCTGTCATCTCCCGGAATGGCACCTCCCGGACTGGGCGGCGCTGGAGGTCTGGAGGCTCAGCACACAGGGTAGACTGTGGTTCGATGAAACGGACATGGGTGCCCGTGGCATTGGCCCAGCGGATGACGCAGTCGCAGCGGATGGGGTTGCCATGGAGCCCCACCTCCTGCAGGTTGGGCAGTGACTCCACTGTCTGCTGGTGCAAGGCACTGAGAGCGTTGTTGTTGAGCATCAGGGTCTCCATCTGGGGCAGGTGGTGGAAGGCGCGGGGATGGATGAAAGAAAGCCGTGGGTTGTTGGTGATGTCCAGCTTGGTCAGCTCAGGGAGGTTCACCAAGGCGAACTTGTCGATGGAGACCAGCTCCTCCATGTTGTTCAGTCCTAGCTCCTTGAGGTGCAGCATGTTGGCAAAGTCTCCCGGCCCTACCCGCTGCAATGGGTTTTTGTTCAGGTCTAGGAACTTGAGCCCGGGAACCTGCTCCAATGCCCGCTTGGGCACCTGGGCCAGCTGATTGTCGTAGAAAGAGAGACTCTCCAGGCTTCGCAGTCCTTCCAGAGCATAGTCCGAGATCTCCCGCAAGCTCATGCCTGCCAGCACCAGGCTGCGCAGGTTGGCCAGGGGTCGGAAGTTCATGTCCAAGATGGCATCCACCTTGTTGCCACCAATCATGAGGATTTCCAAGTTGGGCAGCATCTCGAACCAGCGGCTGTCGATGGTCCTGAGCAGGTTGGAGTTGAGGTGCAGTCGCAGCAGGTTGCTGAGGCCTTCAAAGGCCCTGGGGGCGATGCGGCACAGCTGGTTATGGTTGAGATAGAGTTCCTGCAGGCTGCTCAGCCCAGCAAAGCTGTGATCCTCCAGCCGGCTTAGCTGGTTCTCTTCCAGATGTAGGCTCAGCAGCTGAGGCAGGGCCTGCAAGTCACAGTCTCGGGCATCTGAGAAGCTGTTCTGGGACAGATCCAGCTCTGTAAGGTTGGTCAAGTAGGCAAGTTCAGCCTGGTCTATTCGGCTGATGCTGTTACTCTGCAGGAGCAGGGTCTGCGTGCCCGCAGGGAGCCCTGGGGGCACTACTGTCAGGAAGAGGTCATTGCAGTCCACAGTGGTGGCCTCTCGGTAAGATGATCGGGGTGTGTACCAGGGCCGGATCTGGCAGGCACACTGAGGAGGGCAGGGCACACGCCAGGGTACCACGGGTACTGCAGCAGGGGTACCAGCCGCCCAAGATAGCAAGAGGGCAGCCACAAGGAGCCTCATGGTGGAGCTGGAAGGCAGGGGCCCCTCCACAGGAAGAGTCCTGCTCTTCACGACGTGCGGACTGAGGGTCAGCAGCCTTGCCAGGGTCTGGGGAGCCAGCCTCTCAAGGCAGTCATTCTACACGGGGTGGGTGGGCATCACTTCATGCCCTCTTGGGTGTGGCTCTTCATCTTTGTGCATTGGACTGGGTTCCACTCATTTCCTCGTCAGGCAGCCCTGGAAGAAGACAACAGAGTCAGGGATGTGCAGAGTTAAACAGTGGAACCCTCCCCTGATGGACTCCAGAAACCAGAGGAGCAGCCCGGGAGCTGGCTTGGATGGAAACCAGGCTTCCTGGACCCTGTTTTGCAGCCCTCAAGGTTCCAGGGTCCTCTCCTGCCATCTTCTCTAAATCTTTGGATGGGTCGGAGGTGTGGTGTGGTGTGGTGTGGTATGGTGTGTGTGGTGTGGTGTATTGTGGTGTGGTGTGAGGCGGTGTGGTGTGGTAGATGACTGTGGGGTGTATAGGTTATGTGTATGTGTTTGGGAAGAAAGGAGGACAGATGGGCTGAAGCTGTCGTGGTTGGAGCTCAGATGAATGTGGAATAGATTTTTTGACCTTTCTTGCTCTTCCATCCTTCCCTTCTTGGATCATTGGTTAAGTGAGATAAATGATAGTTTCTAGACATTTCCCTGGTGATGCAGGAGGAAGGAGGTAGTGGAAACAAACCCAGCTCTAAAATATGGGATGGGCTTCCCAGGACTCAGGAGTCGGCAGTGGATCCTGACCCCACTTCCTCATAGACTGGGGTCTCCTGGGTGAGCTTTGGGTTTTGGGCACTTTGCTTCCATCCTGAAGGCCTGGGCCTTCCTCTCTCAGTGGCCTGTTAGAGCTGCTGGCAGATGTTCAGGGCTGGAGTCTACTTACTTGCCTCAGCCCTGCAGGCATGGTCTTCTGTAATCTGGCCTGACCATTCCTGGTTTCTGTTGTTTCTATTCCACTCATGTTCTCTGTACAAACCTTTTGGGGTGAACTGGCATGCCCCCCTTTTGTCTCACTTCCCTCAGATAACTTCTGCTTGTTCTTCAAGACTCAAGTCTAGTCACTTACAGAGAGTTTCTCTTGGGCTACGGGATTTCTTGGAGAACCATAACTCTTAGACAACAGGCATTGGGGCACACGTCCCCCTCTCTGCGACTAAGGGATGGCATTGTGCTGAAGTATTGTGCTTGCTGCTGTCCCCAGTCCTGCCCAAACCACCTGGGAGACTTCCTTTGTGTAGCTCTGCTCTTTTATCACCAAACCCGTAACATGGGGCATGGCTGGTGCCCACTGTAGTCCCATATTCTCAGGGCCCCTTCCCCCAGGAGATCTTCTCTACCTGGAACCCAAGACACTGCTGTTTCCTCCCTCCTGGCCGTATGAAATCAACCTGGCTTTTCTCTAGACCCTAAGGCCAGGCTGTGCTGCCCTGAAGGTACATCAAGCCTTGACTTAGAACAGTTGGACACAAAACTGGGCCAGCTCGGAGCTCTCCTCTTTGACCTGGTTTGATCTGGCAGCTCTTCTGTGACAGGTGTGCAGGATGCATTTGTAAGACTCTGAGCGGCTTATTTTATGTGCAAGCATTCCTCAGAGGCCTGGAGATAAGCATTCACACCTCCAGCGTGTATAGGTCCAGAAGAACCTAGCTCAAGTCTCAATGCTGGTAAGCATCCACAGATAGGAAATAAAGCCCGATCTGGAGGCTGTGCTGTTTCTACAACGCTGCTCTGCTTCAGGTCTGGCCCAGCTTGCTTTGGTCCCAAGGCTAGGGTGCCCTGGCTGCCTTGAGGCAGTCTGGTACCATTCCTGTCTCCTGCATGAGGTCTTCTTGCCAGGAAGCCGCAGGAAGCTCAGAGTGGTGTTTACCAGCTTCCAGGGAGTACCTCTAACTGGCCACATGGGGCTCCTTGCCTCATCATCATCCTGCTTTCAGGATACTGGGAGGGGAGCAGTGGGGGAGGAGAGCAGTGGGGGCAGGGCACCCTTCCCTGAGCAGGAGAGCCACATGACTGTGTACATCTGACTGCGTCCCACTTTCCTCTGCAGCTATTTCTGAAGGTGGGAAAAACAACGGTGACTTGAAAGGCACAGAGGTTTGCGTAGGGGTGTGTGTGCACTGCCACATAGATCTCAGGGTAAACAAACACACGTGCACACATGCATGCCTGCCTACATACATGTGCAACAGAAGCCTGGGGAAGCCAGGGGGAGGGATGCTTGTGGTGTACTTTGTGGGTTGGGAAGTTGCAGGCAACAAACGGAGAAGTACCTGCCATGCAGATGGCCCTCAGTGCCATGCTTCTATACCAGAGGCCAGGGTACCAAGCTTGGTTCTACGTCTGCCCTAGGAAAAGCTCCTTGACCTCTCCAAGCATCTGTTGCTTGATTTTTTTCTTTATTTTCTTAAAGACTGTCATGAGCCTGAAATGAGCGGTTGCTCAAGTAGAGAGTTCTAGAAATGTTAGCTCCTTTTCCAAGGTTGGGAGACTCCTCTTCTGCCTCCCTCCGAGGTGCTCCAGCCACATAAGACTTCTCTTCTCCCTCACTTCCTCCTTCCCTCCCTCCAACTATCCTTTTTTCCTTCCTTTTGCTATGTAGCTGAGGCTGTCCTTGAACTCAGGACCTTCCATCTTCCTAGTGCTCAGAGTACAGGTGTGCACCATTGTGCTCAGTGATCACAGGACTTCTTAAGGACCAATAGTCTTCTAGACGACAGATAATAGGGTGCAACCAGCTCCCTCTCTACTAAGCTTAGCCCCTGGGAGCCCAAGAATGGCCTCAAAGTGGGGTGGAGATCTGTGAGCTGGCAACACAGTCATCCAGCGAAGAATGCCAATGGGTGAAGAAACCCCAGGACAGTTCCCAGCTGGAGAGGAAGGTGAGGCTGAGTAGCAGCAAAGGCTCTTCAGAGAGGACCTCAAATTGTCACTTGACCTTTAGACAAGACCTGAGCTTCCCTCTCCTCCTACAACGTCCTCATTCTGTGTGCCAAGACAGCACTCAGCTGTGCTCAGGGCACTAGAAGTCACCAAAACCTACAAAGTTCCATGGCAGACATCTCCCCTGCGGGCCTCATCTGTCTACCTGGGCAGGAGCAGTGGAGTGTGCTATTCCTGGGCCAGGAACAGGGCTGGCTTTAAGAGGAAGAGAGAAGTGCCTCAAAGTGTGGCAAATCCTCGGAGGAGTCCTTCTTTTGAGGCTGGGCACAGAACCCCTCCTAGGATGGATGACAGCGCCATTAAAGGCTGTCATGGCCCTACTCATTCAAGCTGATTAGCGAGTTGTACAGGAGCTGCAGAGAAAGCGGATATCTTTTCTCCATAGTGTCCAGGTCACCAGGAGTTCATGAGCACATGCACATGTCCCTCAACTGGTCTGCAAGCTCCCTTTGTCCACAGAGAATCAAGTGACTCAGAGTACTTGAGGGTGAATATGAACAATAAAACCTACGGAACACGGAACATTGAGTTCCGTATCTCCACTGGTTCTGTGCATGGGCAACGAAGGGATTCTTTACTTTCATTTTCTCAGGGAGACAACTGAGGTTCAGAAAGGCTATAGCAGAGGTTATGCGACTTCTATGTGGTTAGGGAAACCCAGATTTCTTTTTCTATAATCTACCCCAGCAGTGCAATCAACAGAGTCCAATGCTTGCTTGAGGAGAGCTGGCTGTTGGTGTGGCTTGGAACAAACACTTGCCTCAGCTACAAGTTCTTTCAGACATGGACTTGGGTCCTTAGCAAATATATTTTGTCCCCTGATGGGCCCACCAGACTCCTTCCTTGGCTCCTGGCTAGACTGACCCCCTTGAGGAACATGCAGGAAGGACTCTGTTATTCTTTGAGCCTTGTTACATGGGCCTGGAACCACAGGGTCAGACAGAGTTCGGTGCTGCACACAGGCCTGGCCCTGCCATCTGACTGTGCATGGCTGGTGCCTCGCTCCAAAGGCACACCATTAGCTTGGAAGGGCTTGTGCTACAAATCCCAATGGACCCATTTCCAGTTGGATTCGCTCCAGGAATCATCTTTGGACTTGGCAGAATGCATGGAATTGATCCTCCAATCCCTCTGCTAAGAAGACGCTTGGCAAAACTGAAGGAAGAGTTTTGGGGGATGCTGTCATTCCATCCTTCTCTGTCCCTATCCCCTGCAGCGTGGGGGCGGAGTCTACTGGCACAAGCAAACTCCCTCCCTTTCACCTTCCTACCACTCTCTGCCTCCTTCTCCAGTCCCCGCCCAACCCCTGAGAGCAAGCAGGAGGCTAGCAGGCAGGCAGTACCGATTGCCTGGCCTTGGCTGCTTTGGTACCAGGTCCCTCTGAGCTGTGGAGAACAGATGGGCGGCATAATTGAGTGTAGCGTTGATAAACTCCGGCCTCCTCAGCAGCAGATAAGCACTGGGCGGGAGCTGCAGAGGTGGCAGGCCAGCCTCCATCTGTACACGCGACCTCCAGTTCCCTGGGGGAAGCAAATAGGTCCCTTACTCCTGCCTCTCACTTAATCACACACAACCAGAGCTTTTGCAGGGAGACCCCAGTGTTTATCTAGTCTTCCAGAGCCTGAATTCCATAAATAACTTATGTGAGGGAGGGCCGGGGGTGCAGAAGGGACCGGGCTTTGCCACGGGCTTTGAGTCCGACTCTTCTGCTCTCCCTGTGACCTTGGGCAAAGCACCCAGCTTCCTAGGCCTTAAAGGTTGCAGCCGTGCAGCCGGGGATGGAATGACTGCTCCCTTCACTCCGTCCATTCTTGTGGCTTCTCATTGTACCCTTGTTCCTCACCTTTTGTAACATTTTGAGTCGTTGAGGCATAATATACCACACAGGCGTGGGTACACCAAAGACACTAACCCCAGACTCTGTGAGCTTGGGCAAAAACAGGTCAGCCACACTCAGATCTAGGTGTAACTATCCTAGCACTCTAGAAGGTTCCTTATGCCCTTGCAGGTCAATATGCCACCCTACCTGGTTACCGCTGCCCTGACCTCTGGCCTCACCAGCCAGTGTCCTCTTTAAGCTCTGCTCCCCTCTTCCTCTTCCACAAGTTGAGCACAAGGTCATTGGACCTGGGTGATTCCCGGAACTCCTCTTCCTCCTTCCTAGTGGGTGAGAGCCTCTCAGCATCCTTCTCAGGCAAGGTGGGTCTTCTTTCTTGTCCTTACACCTAGAGATAGTTCTATGCCTCATGGTC